GGGGGGGGAGGGGGGGCGGCAGCAGAAAGGGCACCGCTTCTTCTTCGACCAGAGGTTCCGCTGGCGGCGGCGGCGGCGGCGGCGGCAGCGCAGGGAGAGGAGGAGGGGGCGGGACGAAAAAGAACGCCAAGAGCAAGAAGAACGCGGCGGCGGCGACGGCGTCACGGCGGGGGTCGCCGAGGGCGACCTCGAAGCTAGCGCAGTTCTTGGTATGTTCGGGGTCCTCGTCGTCCTCGTCGTCCTCGTCTAGCGGCAGCGGCAGCGGCAGCGGCAGCGACGTCGCTGATGATGATGATGATGATGATGGCGATGATCGTAGCCCCAGGGGTAGGGGCGCCGGTGGTGCTGCCGGGACGAGACGCAGCGGCGGCAGCGGTGGTGGGAGAAAGAGCGGCGAGGGAGGTGGGAAGCAGAGTTTTGCGGGGAAGAAGCGGAAGGGGGCTCCGTCGCCTCGAGGACGCGGGGGGGGTGCCTCGTCGCCGCCGCCTTCTTCGTCTAGGAGAGGGAAGGGAGCGGGGAACGGGAGAGGTGGCTGGGCCGCCGCCGCGTCAATGGCAGAAGGGGGTGCCGGCCACCACGAGGAAGAGAAGGAGGAGTCGCTGGATATCGAGGACGCTTGTTCCCAAGCTACCTTGGCAGCAGCTGCTGCTGCTGCTGCTGCTGCTGCGGGGGCGTCGGCCGGCGGCAGCAGCAGCAGCGGGGGACAAGCAAAGGCGGCGGCGGAGGAAGAGGTGGGGGAAGGCGGCGGCGCCGGCGGCTGCTCCTCTCGCCTCCGAAACAAGCGGCGGAAGGTAGTTGCCGGCAGTGGGGGCTCCTCCTCCGCGACTGCTTTTCCTGCCCCCACCGGCCGTGCTGCTGCGGCCGCCACCGGGGCCGGAGCCGCCGCGAAGAAAGGCGGCAACAAGGCCGCGAGGGGAAGTAAGGGGAAGAGGGCGGCGGCGGCGGCGGCGGCGGCGGCGGCGGCGGCGGAAGCGGCGGCGGCATCGTCTTCTAGGTTGCCGCGGCTAAGGCCTGGAACGCAGGTGCGCTTCGCGTGGCGACCAAGAATCGGTTATCGGCCGGCGCTTGTTCTGTTACATCCTAACACGACCACCACCAAGTGTTGTCGGTTTTTGTTGGTCTGCTGACAAAACAGCATGTGTCGTCGGCCTGTTTTTGGCACGTGCCAGGTGTTCTCGTGCTTCCGGATTGCGGGAGGGGCCCGGGGGCCGGGAAGTGTCTGGTACAGGGGGAGCGTCAAGGTCGCCCACAGGGACGGCACCGTCGATGTCAGGTATTGTACAAGCTGGCTTAGCTTTTGCTGTTGGTGCTGTTGTTTGGTGGTGGCCGTGGAAACCATGTGCTGCGGTCCTGTCTCTCTGTCTCGGGTGTGCGTGTCTCCCTCGCTTCCTCTCTCTCTGTTTCTCCCTGTCTTTTTTTTTCTCTCTCTTTCTATGCCTCTCTATGCCTCTCTGTATGTCTTTCTTCCTCTCTCTCTGCCTCTCTCTGCCTCTCTGTATGTCGTTCTGCCTCTTTGTCTCTCTATGTCTGTCTTTCTCTCGAGTGTGAACGAATGTGTGAGGGTGTTGTATTTTCAGCCACGCATTTGCAACATCGACACCGTGGAAGAAGGTGAACACGGGGGCGCATTCCAAACGAAGAGGATGTGTCCCCCCCCCCCCCCCCCCCCCCCCCCCNNNCCCCCCCCATCTCCCCCATCTCCTGACGTCCACTAACGTAGGTGCGCATTTTTTTTTTATATGAAGGTACGAGGACGAGGAAGTACGCAAGAACATTCCGAGAAGCCACCTGACGACCACGCTCCCATCGGTGGTCTCCGACGGTCAGACGATGGAGATCCGGGGATGCACGCTGTGGAGCACCTGGGGTGGAAGCGGCGGCGGCGATGGCGGGAGGAGCGTGGTGAAGCAGGAGGCTGGGAGGTCCGAGGAGGAGGATGGAGGGGGCCCGGGGAATCGCGAGCGTCTCTCGCGACGGCCGCGGCACCCCACCCACCTACGAACGTCCCGGGCTGCGGGCGGAGCAACAGCGGCGGCAGCGGCTGCCCACGCGAACAACAACTATCCCTCCTCCTCGCCGTCCTCGAGCGGTGCAGCGGCGGCTGCGGCGGCTGCGGCGGCGGCAACCGGCGGCGGCGATCGAAGAGAAGCGGGAGGGGAGGGGGCGGGGGCGGGAACCGGGGCAGTGGATACGCTCAGCGAGAGGTTCGCGCAGCTCGCGGCGCTAGAAGGTCGTGCGGAGGTGCAGAGAGCGGCGGCAGCGGTGGCGGCGACGGCGGCGGCTGCGGCGACCGCCGCCGCCACCTCGTCGCACAGACCCGGAGGGTCATCGAGGGCAAGCAACCCTCCTCCTCCTCCGGCGTCCTCTTCCGGCGGCGGTGGTGGTGGTTCTTCGGCCGTCCGTCAGGCACAGGCGGCGTCGAGGGTCGCCATGGAACGCGCCCGCGCTGCTGCTGCTTCTAACTCTTGGACGTCTCGTCCATCGGTGGCAGGGGCTAACACCGCCAGCGGCAAGACCTCTTCCTCTCGGGGTGGTGCCAGCAGCGGTGGCGCCAGCGATGCTGCAAGGGCGGCCGCCGCTGGCGGCGGTCGCAGCGGTAGCGGACCGAGCTCCCGGAACCTCGACGCCGCCGCCGCGCTCGAGCGAGAGCTATCGCTGCTGCGCCACGCGCGGGCGGCGCAAGCCGCCCAGGCGGCGGCGGGAGGGTTTGCTGGAGGCGGAGCCGGCGGCGGCGGCGGCCGCGGAGGGCTTCTAGGCGTGGGCGCGTGGCCGCCGGAGCTTCTTGAAGCTGCTCAGGCGGCCGGGCTTACCTTGCCGCCGGGCGCGGGCAGGGCCGGCGATGGCGATGGCGGTGGCGGTGGCGGTGGCGGTGGTGGTGGCCATCCGCATGGGGGGCCTCCGGGGGGGCACAGGATCGGTGGAGGGTCCAGGGCCGGCGGTACTATCCTACGGATGGTGAGCAGCGGCCCGCCGTTGTTGGCTAGGGTTGGCCCCGTTTTGGGCGTTTGTTGTGCTTCCTCGTCTCATGCCGCCGTGGGGGTTGTAGGGGTGGACGGCGATGCACGGTACATGGCTTGCGGTTTTGGGGGGAGTTCGTTTTGCCGCACAACGGTGTAGGTTGAGTCCAAATGTGGTTGTGTTGCCGGAAGGACAACAGCCATGTTTTTGCAGAAGAAAGATAAATGGCCGCATGAAGTCCCAGGTGTTTTGTTAAGAGCGCCGAGAGACTGCCTGAGCGCGCGATGCATCTGTTTCTTTCGTTTCTTCGGTCTCGTTCTTTTCCGTTTGAGGAAGTTCGTTTGAAACCGCTTCAGCCCAAGTCGCCCCTCCCACCCACCCACCCACCCCCCACGATTCAATCAACACGCCCCGTCCTCTGGAGGACGCGTGGTTTCAACGGCCTAGCAACTAAGACATTCACAACATGAATTGTTCGCGCGTGGTCAATGGTGTTTCATTTCAGTATGAGTACCCCCCCTCCCTCCCGTGGGAACAGTACTCCGTACTCTCGAGGACGCGCGGTGAACGGCCTGATAACTAGAGGCATGCATGCCAACCGTGAGTACCGCCCCCGCCCCGCCCCGCCCCGCGCCTTTCCGTCCCTTTGGCCTACCGCAGACAATCCCGGGTATGGTAGACGAGGACTCTCCGGCGGGGCCGGGGGTCCGGATCCAGCTCATGTCCACGCGCAGAGAAATGCCCCCTCCGCCTTCGTCATCGGCGTCGGCCGCTTCGGCGGCGGCGGCAGCGGAGGGGTCGGGCTCGGGATCAGGATCGGGGTCGCAGAACCAGAATCAGCAGCAGCAGCAGCAGGCGTTTGCGTCCCAGGGCCAAGGGAGCCAGGGGTGGGGGGGTCTAGCTGCGCGCCGACCGGTGGCGGCGGGCGGTCTCGCTCAGCGTCGGCCTTTGCCTGCGCCGCCTGGTACAGCTGGTGGTGGAGCTTCGGCAGCGGCGGCCAGCCGCCCCAACGGCAGGGGCAACAAGGCGCCGGCTACTGCGATGGCGGCGGCGGCGGGCGCAGCGACGTCTGCTTCGGGGTCCCCGGCCCTCCGCGCGGCCGCGGCAAAGGCCGTCACCGCTGCTGCTACAAAAGCTGCGAAAGCTGCAAAAGCTACTCGTGCGACTACCGGTAGCAGCGGTGGCCGTGGCGCGGGCAGCAGTGCCAAGGAGCCTCGAAGCCGTCGCATTGTCCGCGGCAGCAGGACTCCTCCTTCTTCTTCTGCCACCGGCGGCGCGGGGGCGGCAGTAGGCGGGGGCTCTCGCCCGGTGACCCGGGGGCGGCGGAGTGACACTAACGGAGAAGGTGCCGGTTCGGCGACGGCCAGTCACGTATCGTCGTTGTCGTCTTCCTCAAAGAGAAAGCGAGGAGAAGATTCTGGCGCCGCGGCCGTCGCCGCTGAGGGGGGAAGGGGAAGAAGCTCCGTCGCTACTAGCGCCGACGAAGCTGCGACACCGCCGGCGGCAGCGCCTGCGGCGGCGACGCAGGGAAGGACGTTGCGGGCCAGAAGAACTCGTTCCTCGTCCACCTCGGCTTCGTCGTCGGCGGCAGCTGCTGCGGCAGCGGCGGGTACAGCGGCGACGTCGTCGAGGGGGCGTGCCTCGACTCGAGTGGGTGTGGCCGCCGCTGCTATCGGAATGGCCGCTCCCGCCCCCCCTGCCACCACCTCTTCTTCTTCTTCTAACCCTTCGACACGCAAGGCTTCGTCGTCGTCTCCGAGAGGTCGCGGTAGCAGCAATGGCGGCGGGGCGGGCCGCAGGAAGTCCTCCGCTGATCCGTCGCCGCTGCCTTCGGCGGCGGTGGCGGCGGTGGCTTCTGTGAGCACCGCCGCTGAAGCGACGAAAGGCGGCGGCGTGGCTGCACAGTCGTCGTCATCATCTTCATCGTCGCACAAGCGGCGGCGAGTCACGTCCCCGCCGTCGACGTCCGCCGCAGCGGGAGGCGCGACGGCGGCGGCGGCGACGGCGGGTAGCGGGAGGTCGAAGCGAACAACGGGGACGGCGACTGCGGGGGCGACGGGGGTGGTCCGCGGAGGCGGCGGCGGTGGGGGCGGCGGCGGTAGCCCGAGGAGAAGCTCCCGCGTTGTACGTGGGCCATCGTCTTTCGCGGGACCGCCCCCTTCGAAGCCCGCCGCCGCAGCAGCAGCAGCATCGAAGTCGAAGAGAGGCGGCACCACCAAAAAGCTCCCTACTACTGGCGGTGACGGCGGTGCGCCTGCCGTTGTGTCGTCCACGGCGGGTTCTTGGAAGACGAAGCGGCAGAGCAAGACCAAGGCCAAGAAGACGCCGTCGCCGCGTCAACGGCAGCAGCCGCAGCAGAAGCAGCCGGCTAAGAGGGTAAGCGGCAGGGCTAGTACGGGCGGCGGCGGGCGCAACAGTAGCAGGGGGGTAGCAAGCCCCGGCACCGACACGACGACCCCGTTGACCAGCCGCGCCAGTGGCAGCAGCAGCAGCAGCAGCCGTGGGGGTAGAGCTAGCGGCGGCGGTGGTGGGAGCGGACTCCCCGCCACCGCCGGCGGTGAGGGGTGGCAGCCACCGTGGCGTGCGGGGGGGGGCTCTGCTACGGCTGCCGCTGCTGCTGCTGCTGCTGCGGCGGCGGCGGCAGCGGCGGCTTCGGTGGGGAGCAGCAGCGCCGCCGGTGAGGGCTCGTACACAAGAAACCGGCCTTCGTCCTCGTCTTCGTCTTCGTCTTCCAGCAAGCTCCCTCTCCTGCAGTGGACGCTGAGGTACCACTGGCCGGACACCGACGTGGCGGCAGCAGCCTCCGCCGCCGCCGCCGCCGATTCGCCCGCTGCCAACACTGGCGCGGTTGCGGTCGGACCCGGCTCCGCTGCCTCGTCGTCCGCTTTGGAAGGCGGTGTCAGCGGCAGTGGCGGCGGCGGCGGCAGCGGTAGCCGCAAGAGAAACGGGAAGGGGAGAGCCAGGGGAGCCGCGGAGGAGAATCGGGGAAAGGGAAGGGGGCACAACAGCAACAGCAGCACGGGGGAGACGGGAGAGGAGGAGGCAGCTCTGGCGCTGGGAGGGGGGCAAGGAGGAGCCGAGGTGGTGGTGGCCGGGGGCGACGCAGGCGGGACTGTCGTACGGAGGTATACAGAGGTGGACTTCACGAACGGGGAGCTTCCTTCCGGTGAGAGACTCGTACCCGCCGCCCCCGCCCCCCCCCCCCCCCCCCCCCCCCCCCCCCCCCCCCCCCCCCCCCCCCCCCCCCCCCCCCCCCCCCCGGACAACACGGACCCCCTGTAGATGCGCACATGGCGTGTGTCGCGGTTACACCTACAGCAGTGTGTGTGATGCTGCGAGCCGGTTGTTGGTGTTGGCGTTGTTGTTGTTGTCTTCTACCGGGAATCATCCCTGTCTCTTCTCGATGTGCCTTCCGACGTCCGTACCGGTCCAACTGACTCGGAACGCCTTCCATGGTCACAACAGTCCCGCTACCGCTGTACATTTCCCCTCCAGGGTTACCACACTTAACTACATTGCAAGGTGGTTCTATGCCCGACTGTCGCGACGACGTTGTTGTTGTTGTTGTTGTTGTTGTTGTCTTCACACGTCACGAAGCTGTGCTGGTCTCCTCTCCATACGTTCTAGTATCCGTACCGGTGCAACAGACGCAGACGCCGTCGGTGGTGACAGGCCAGCCACCTCAACAACAACAAAGGGCAGTGTGTGTGTGTGTGTGTGTGTGTTCGTCCCTTCTAATCTGGCGGCAGCCAGCCTACTGCCTTTTGCCTTTGGGTGCGGGTATATATCTCCCGACCAGCCGGGGTTGAAACAAAGGAAGGTTACACACGGGAGCGAGGAACGACCGAAAATTCAACGTTTTCGTTTTTTATTTTCCTGAATTATTAGAGCACAACGAGTCCATCTCTTGTCCACAGAAAATAGTCTTATCAGGATAAGATGGTAATGAGGTCATGAAGTCGTTTTTTGTCTTGTAATCCTGCGGCGTCTCCACACCATGTCGGCGACCGCTCACGTGCGCGACAGGCGCGACAATGTTCGAGGCTGTCCAGATGCTGATGCTGAAGCACGCTCGAGAGACGGCCGGGGGCGAAGTCCCGATAACCAGTAGCGGGTACGTGTTCAATACGTGTGTGCGTATGTGCGCCCTTATTTCCTTCCCTGACTGTTTTTTGTTGTCCTCCTCGGCACGTGATTGTTTTTGTCGTCTCTTGGTTGTAGTAGGGCAGTAGGGCGGACCGCTTCATGCTATTGTCATGTCGAACACGAGACGAAGCCCCCCCCCCCAAAAAAAAAAAAAA